AAAAAAAATATTATTTTTTGTGTGTTTACTGTCAAATAGGATCTGACTGGTACAGGAGGAGATTGCCCCTCTTTCTCCAGCAGAGCAACTTGTGGATTCAAACTGTGTACGTCTGGCATTGCAGTGCAACTTCTTGCCACAATAGAAAGTAACCCCACTGTTAGGTGCCATCAAGGTACAATCCATGGCGACTCTATGAGCTACAGATCTGAACCCAGTCCTCTCCTGTGCTATCCTTAGGCCTCTTTACACACTAGGGCTCATTGCAACAGTCATCATGTCATCCACCTGGTCAAGGGTTTTTCTCTCCTTCACCAACCCTTCAACTCTCTCTCATGTCTCTCTCCAAGGTATAGCTCCTCCTAGCAACATGCCTGAAGCATGTGAGGCAAAGCCTCATCATTCTTATCTCAAAGAGCACTCTTGCTGTATCCTTTCCAAAACATAATTATTTGTTCTTTTGGCAGTTCATATAATGTTCAGCCCTCTTCTCATCATTTCTTCTTCTGTCCTCCTTACTTATTGTCCAGCTCTCGGATGGACAACAAGTGACTGGAAAGACCATGAGCTGAATCAGACACACCTTAGTCCTCAAACTGACACCATTACTCCTCAATAATATGGAAAGGTCCCTAACTGCAGACTTGTTCAGTGCAATACAACTCCTGATTTCCTGGCTGCTGGTACCAAGGGTGTTAATTCTGTGGACCCAAGCAAGATTAAATGTTTGACAATTTCAATCTTTTCTCCATCTAGCATGAGGTTGTCTATTGGTCCAGTGGTAACAATCTTTGTCTTCTTGACATTGAGATGCAATCCATTTTGAAGGTTGTATTCTTTGATCTCTGTAACAAGTGCTTTAAGTCCCCCTTAATTTCAGCAAGCAAGGATGTATCACTTACATAATGCAGGTTATTAATTTTAATCTCTCTCTGCTCCTGATGCCACATTCCTCTTTAGAATCCAACTTTTCAAATAATTTGCTCAGTATCCAGATTGAATGTGTATGGACAGAGAATACAACCCTGTTGCACTCCCTTCCTAATTTTAAATCATGCAGTGTTTCCTTGCTCAGTTCATACAACAGCCTCCTGGTCTAGGTATAGGCTTTGTATGAATACAGTTAAGTACTCTGGGACTACCATTATTCTTAATGTTAGTCATGACTTGTTATGATCCACACAGTCAAATTCCTTTGCATAGTCAATAATGCATAAATAGATATCCCTCTGGTATTTACTTTCAACCAGGATCCATCTGACATAAGCAATGATATTCCTGGTGCCACAGCCTTTTCTAAATCCTGCTTGAACTTCTAACCATTTTTTTATGATCTTCAGTAGTATTTTGCTTGCATGTGATAATAATGATATTGTTTGATAATTTTCACATTTTATTAGATAACCTTTCTTGGGAATGGGAAAAATATGGACTTCTTCCAATCCATTAGGCACACAGCTGTCCTCCAAATTTCCTGACATAGACTGGTGAGCACATCCAGGGCTGCATCTCATCTGTTAACTGAAACAAGTCAATAGGTATCATATCGATTCCTGGGGCCTTATTTTTAACAATGTCTTTAATGCAACTTCCACTTCCTCCTTTATTACAATTGGCTCCTGTTCATATGGGACAGTGTCAATCAGTTCTTTTTGTTACAGTGATTCTGTGCATTACCTTCATCTTCCTTTGATACTTTCTGGGTCATTCAATATATTACCCATAGCATCTTTCAATATTGTGACTTGAGGCTTAAATTTGTTTTTCAGTTCTTTCAGTTTGAGAAATGCAAAGTGAGTTCTAGGTATATATTCCAAAGAAATAAGAGCTGTGACCCAATAAATATATGCACACCTATGTTCATGCAGCATCATTTACAATAGCAAAGAGACAGAAACCCAAGTACCCTTCAACTGGTGAATGTTTAAAGAAACTATGGTGCATTCACATAATGGAATATTATGCAACAGCAAAAAAAATACAAAAACATTTGTGAAATACTGCCGCAAATGGATGAATCTAGAGGAAATTATGCTTAGTAACATAAGCTAGTCATAAAAGGACAATTATGAGAGGCTGAAGTGGCGGCGGGCGCGCGCGGTAGCGGCGGCGACGGCGGCGGCGGGCCTGCGAGGCGCGGACTGTTGTCCTCCCGGCTCTCCCCTTTCCCCTTCTTGGCGAGTGGAGGAGGCCGAAGCGGTGCTAAGTGCGCTTCCACGCTTCCTTTCCCTCCCGGCGACTTCCCCCGGCCCTCTCGCGCTGCGCGGTCTCTCCGACGCAAGACTGTCCCAGCCCCGATATGGCTCGTGGGCAGCAGAAGATTCAGTCTCAGCAGAAAAATGCCAAAAAGCAAGCTGGACAAAAGAAGAAACAAGGCCATGATCAAAAGGCTGCCGCCAAAGCTGCTTTAATATATACCTGCACTGTCTGTAGGACACAAATGCCAGACCCTAAGACCTTCAAGCAGCACTTTGAGAGCAAACATCCTAAGACTCCACTTCCTCCAGAATTGGCTGATGTTCAAGCATAAGGTTGTTTACAGGTGAATCCATGACACCTTTGACTCTTCTACTGTCTCAGACCTTATTTAACAAACCTGCAGCTGCTTTTCTAACAAACTGTTGATCAGCAAAAATAAAGGGGCTACAGAAACACTGTTCCCTTTTGGGCTTCATTGCAAAGACAATTCTGTGTAAATGTACAGTTGACTGATTTGGAAATCTGAAAATCAATCCATCCTTGTTATAAAAAATTTTTTTACAATTGTAATTATATTGATGTTCATATTGTGTAAAATAACTCGTTTAATAAAGTAGTACTTTGATTTTACAACATCACAAAAAAAAAAAAGGACAATTATGATATAAATTGTTGTTGTTGTTAGGTACCATCGAGTTGAGTATGACTAATTGTGACCCTATGAAGGAAAGATCTGAACTCTGTTCTATCTTGTGTCATCCTTACACAAGAACCCATTGAAGCAGTCATCACATCAATCTGCCTGTGAGGGTCTTCCTTTCCTTCACTGACCCTCTACTGTTGCAGACCGAGGGTAAAGTATTTTTGTAATTATTGATAATGAGAAAGACAGCCAGCAATGAGATAAAACAGAGAACTAAAAACAGGGGCCAGCAGTTCTAGACTGAAGGGCCTCAAGCCATGCCTCTCTGTGTATTTACTGATAATCAGGGGACACAAACATAAAAAGAATTCCTTGTAAATGAAGCTGAATTTTTCTCTATTGTCAACCTAATGCTCTAGCTCAGGAAGTATTTCACACATAGTAACACTTCCTCTGTAGGGAGTCTCTCGCTGTCTCTTGTCTGCTGAAAACAGCTCTATTTCAGTGATCTGTCACAAGAGAAATCTTAACTTATAAATTTGTAATTCCTTCAATTCCTGAACAAGGGTTTTCATATTATATTTGATATGAAATTTGGCTTCCCATACTCCACCCTTCCCAACATCATGTCCAGCACCATGCAACAGCCCTTCCGAGCAACATGCCCAAAGCATGTGAGGCAAAGCCCCATAATTCTTGTCTCCAAAAAAGTACTTGAGCTGCACCCTCTCTAGGACAGATCTGTTTGTTCTCTTGGTGGTCCATAGAATGTTCAGTGCTCTTCTCCAACACCACAGCTCAAAGGCATCAATTATTCTCACTGTCCAGCTCTCAGGTGTACAGCAAGTGATCGGGAAGACTATGGCCTGAATCAGATGTACCTTAGTCCTCAAACTGATACCATAATTCCTCAATAATTTGGAGAGATCTCTAGGGAGCTCTGGTGGCCTAGTGGCAAGAAGCTGTGCTGCTATGCCAAAAGCCTGAGGTTCAAATTCACTAGATGCTTTGCTGTAAAAGGAAGGGTAATCTTCTCCTGTGCCAGTCGGATCTGATTCAAGAAAAAGAAAAGTAAATTTGGAAAGATATCTAACAGCTGATTTTCCCAATGCAACGTGTCTCCTTATTTCCTGACTGGTGGTACTAAGGATGTTAACCATGGATTCAAGCAAGGTGGAGCTGTTGATAGTTTCAATTTCTATGGAATAAGACCATTATTATAAAAAGAGAAGTAAAAGCATATACCCAGAATCATTCTTGATGGTTACTAGGGATAGGTTGGGAAGAAAAAAATTAATAAATAGACAAATTATGTTGAAGAGGAAGGCAATATATTATACGGGTTGATCAGATATTATACTTGATCAATTACCTTAATAAATTATAATAAATATTATAAAACAAAATATGCATGAATGAATGAAAAACCAATATGATTTGTAAAGTTTCAACAAATAAATAATTTAAAAATTATCTTTGGAAATGAGAATCAGAAGACATTGTCTACTACCACTGCTTCTATTCAATATGAAAGGTCCTTTCTCAGAGAAAGAGCAAGAAAAAAAGAAAATGTAGAATTAGAAAGAAAAGACTAAACCTTGCATGATTTGAGGTGAGGACTCTGGCCTTATTTCTCTTCCAGGGCAGATCAGTGTGAATGTTTGTGTGTGTGTGTGTGTGTGTGTGTGTGTGTGTGTGTGTGTACCGTCAAGTCGGATCTGACCGGTATAGGAGATTGCCCCTCCTTCTCCAGCAGAGCATCTGGTGGATTCAAACTGCATACCTTTGGGATTGCAATGCAGTTTCTTGACACTAGGCCACCAGAGCTCTCTCAATGTGGATTCTTGATGAAGATCTGCTGAGAAGATGGATGGAAAGATGAAGGGAATGCTGAACAGTGGGTTCTCAAGGCAAGGGACTGTCACTGGGTGGTCTCTAAGTTCAGTTGCCGGGGCCAGGAACACCAAAACAGCAAGCTGTGTAGTCAGTTGGGGGAAGCAGGTGCAGCTCCTGTTGAGGAGTGTTCACCAGTTCTTGGTACTGGTTGCTGAGAGTAGTGTGGGTTTGGGCAAGACCATTCTTAAAAGCAGTGACAAATGTCCACAGCTAGGGCCAGAGTCAGCTTGTGCACTGAGGCTCAGTTTCACAATGTTGGCCTGATTACAGAACCAGATATTTTGTTCCAGCAGCACTGCTTTGGCGGCCAGCAGGTTGTTGACCTTCTTTAGCTCCTCTTCTGCTTCCTGAGCCAGACATTCTCTTCTTTAAGTAGTTTGCACTCCGTTCCTTGGGATGAAGCCAGCTTGTAGTCATACATTAAGGGTCAATATCAAAAAGACAAGGATTCTCACCACTGGGCCAATTGGCAGCATCAGGATGGATGGTGAAAAGATTGAGATTGTACACAGCTTTAGTTTGCTTGGCTCCACAGTCAAC